GAACTAAGCCACTGAAGTACAGGAAACTGCGCGGAATCAGGTTTGAGAAAGAACAGCATCACTTTTTCTTCTTCTTTCTAGCGAGGCGGAGATGGTGTAGTGGCAAGTGGCGCGCTTACCAGGAGCACGCTTTTGGGGTCTAACCAGGAGTCAGCCCCACCCACGCCAATCAAGTCCCGTTCCGGGGAAGGCAAATCAGTGCCAGATTCGCCTGGGAAGATAGGAGCTCTGACTTGTACATCGGCTGGCCTCCAAGTCATTGTATAGGCCACATCGCATTCAATAAGCCACTACGATTCTGAATGGAAGTAGAATGCGTGCCGCATCCCACAAAGGGATTGATCGTCATGATTAACGGCGGAAACTTTATCTTTTCATCCTTCTCCCTAGCGCCGTCGCAGGGTCGGGCAGTGTTATACGCCGTCACTTGTTTCGATCCCGTGCATCTTCTGCCGCGACATTCACTTCAATGAAGTTCATCCCGAAGACGTAACTCCGTCTTCGCCTTAGGTCCTTTGTGCGCTCTACTTCCACTGTCCATATCGGGCAGTCGTCAATCCCTCTCAGCTCGTGACCATACCACAGTAGTCGCTGCACTCGTGATTTTAGCTCAGTTGGAAACGTCGTGCCCGGACTGCGCAGGAAACTTTATTGAAGAAACGGTCACAAGAACAGGAGACGGCAGGGCAAGGTTCACCTTGTGTGAATCGAACAGCTTAGTTGAACTGGCGAGGCACACAGTGATAGATGCCCCCCCGCCTCCGATACGTTTCAAAGCCCGAAGACCCTACGTTGGCGACTTGCTGACGACGGCGAAGTTTATTATCATTCGCGCGGTACTTTATAGCCACCTTGACACAGCGTCTTCAATTCAGAGTAAACGCCTGCAGTGTGCGTGTTGGCCGTGCCACACGCTGGCAGAGTATGGAGACAGCGCCCGAGTATCACTGCCCTCCAGCCCCGTTCTCGTGTACTCTTGACCGGAAAAAACGGCACGCTGCTGCAGCTAAGACCCCAACACTGCAAGACCAGAATCTACCGAGATGAGTGTACAGTTTGTCTCTGAACGCCGTGACTCCCATCTAGGCGTGCGGTATAGCAGCAAGTGACCCACTAACAACCGAAGCAGCATCCAACGAGGCTATAAAGCTCTTGGTCTGCAGGGAACGGTAAAGTTGTACCCAAAAACGTCCGAGAGGATAGGAACGCTCACTCATACTGAGGCTGACACCAAAAGTTTGCAAACCGTACCGCATTCAGCGCGCTACTACAATCTGAATTAACGTAGAATGCGCGCTGCATTCAAAAACAGGTTGGGCAGCCACAAAAGCTTTGTCTTTTTACCCTCAGTTCACAATGGTTACCATCGTTCACGGTCCCTTGGAAGGCATATGGAACGATTATTTGGCAATTGCTCAAAAATAGCGACAGGGGCGCTATATACAGGGCACGCCATCAACGGGGGAAGGTCCTATTTGTCTTTGGGAGGAATTCGCGGCGATGGGAAAAAACTTTTTTCGGTTGCTGGCTTTTTGCGGTTTTTTCTGTTTGACTGGTGTCAACTACTATTTCCGATAGCTGAAAATAGTAGTTAGTTCCTGACGACCCCCCCCCACGCTCGACAGCAAAATTTTGGGGGAAAAACCAGAAATTTTTCAGGGGAAGTTCGTATCACGTATCAACGTATCAGAAGATGGAATCAGGGGGATCGTATTTTCCAGAATTTTACCACAACGCTATGGCGTGCCCTGGCAAAATAGCGAATAAATGACGAAGAAAAGAAGTTTAGCGACCAAAATCTGCAAAAAAATTTCTGTTCTACACCGCTTCGGACAAGTTTTTCGTTAACATCATGCCAGCAACCGATTCGACAGACAGGGCTGTATGTATGTATTCATGTAGCGACCCCTCATATCACTTGCGCTTTATAATTAAAGTGGTGCACAATCGTGGGCGGGCGGGTGCGAGGGGCGTGTGGATTGGCATGCTTATTTCTTAGTATGGAGCGTCATAACTGTTTTTTCATTGGAAAAAGCGCGTTGCAGGGCCTTCTCGGGGGTGCCGAATTCTGTCCAGCTAGGCGTATTTATCCTACACGCCTTATGGATATATCGTACCACCTGCCTTTGACGAGAAGCTCCAATCGATGACAACCTGACCTGACAGTGAGTGAACTTCCCATGAATACCATCGCACAGCTTTCCGTTGAATTATTCACCCAACATGCATTCAACGTGCACCCTTGTTTTCACCCGGGACAATGTCAAACTTCTAATCGATCGCCAACCATACAAAATGGCTTCGGATACAGAAAAAGTATGAAAATTTCATTATTCTCACTGTTTACAATTCTGACACTATGAAGTACAGATCAATTCGAAAGGACAAGGGGAAAGAGCCACGAATTTCTTTAAGAGAGCTGAGTTAAATTACATTTACAATCCAACCAATGAGTTTTTTTACCACAGCAAATTGTACAGCACATCCACGGACAGTTTGGCTTTCACCACCGTCGGCTCATGAGAACACCCTCTGGTGTTTAAATAATCCGACGCGAAAATACTTGATAATAAAACTAGAACTGATGTTAGAAAAGGCTAAAACATGTGGCATAGTCCACTCTATGATGAGAAAATCTCCTAAAACACTTGTCAGATAGATAATGATACTACTTCGTATAACCGACCGTACTTGTTGATAAAACATGAGAGATTTCAAGTTGTTAAGAAGGGAAAGTCGTAGAAAGGGCCCTGAGAAGATTTCTGTGGTGAGAAAAACTACTAAGATGAATAGGTGGGGTGAAATGGATGCCAGCGCCCCAAAACCTCCACACTATACGAGTTGTGTTTGCTGAGCAAGCAGAAACACGCAGGCGGCATGCATGCGATCAGCCGACGACGATTCATTGTTTCACTTCTGCCAACGTTAGCGTCAAGCCGTCGACCGACCGCATCGTCACCGCCTCGTCGGATGTTAGGGAGAAGCGGAAAACACTACGCTACAGCACAAGAAATCCTTTCGATGATTAGAATGATAAAATAAAGAAAACAAGGAGAAACACAGCATGTTTAGAATACACGAATGGCAACCGAGAAATGAGGTAAAAGAGGAATTCCCGACACTACACGACGGTTTTATTGGCGCTATCACAGAGCCTAACTCGTTCGTTAACAGTAGGAAGGAAGCACCACTTCATTTTCAGTTATCTAGGCATTTACCTGGCACTTATCCTCCTCATTTCTCTGATACACCTTCGAAAGACCGAGAAGTGGCCGCAAATATCTTTGTGGGAATGGAAGAGAAGGCGATAATGGGGGAGGCGGGAGAGGAGGAGGGACAAAAGACTCCTTGTACAAAACTGGAATCACCACCGTCCAACAAGACTGACCCCGCTTTGAAAGGTTAGCTCTTCCCAGAGCTTCTCCGCCATTTATGCCTAGCCGAAGGCGCTAACCTCTACCGGTAATTCCAAAAACAATGGCCCTGCCCCATCCAACAAGAATGACCCCGCTTTGAATTGATTCACCCTTCACCCATATCGGAGCTTCTCCACTTCATCCCTAGGTAAAAGTCTTAACCTCCATTATGGTAATTCTTGTGTTGCCCAGGGACTCCTCAATTGTACACTTTCAAGGGACCGAGAAATGGCCGCAAAAAAACCTTGTGGCAATGGAAGAGAAGGCAATAATAAGGGGAAGGTGTAGACAAAACCTTGTACAAAACTGGAGTCACCGTCACTCGAAAGGAAAACTCTGCTCTGAAAGGTTAACCCATCCCGGATCTTCTCCCCCTTTGTGCCTATGTAAAGGTCCTCATCTCCACTAAGGTAATTCTGGTCTCAAGGGTAGTTCGGCGACGTGGCGGGGGGGGGGATTTTGCACTTTTGCTACTTCCCAGCGACATGCCGAGCCATCTAGAGAGCTCTTCCGTGAGTTTACAAATGTTGCAGGTTTGAACATGGTGACTCGACAACCTTACTCCAGCTTCACGGGGCTCACAGGTTTCATCAGATTTGTAAACGTGCAAAGTGCCCCCAACCCCGTCGCCGAGATCCCTCCGAGTGTCCCGCTGATGTTAGTAGCGTCGAAATTAAAAAGGAATCCGTCACAAGTACATCGAACCATAACAACAAGCCCCACCCGCCTGGCAAAACGCAAAACATGCTACGTGCCCGCCGCCGCAGTTACCCAAAAATCCGTAAAAACAGGAACGATAGTGGACAAAAATCTGGAGGCAGTTCGGCGAGGGGGTGGGGAGCATTTCGCACATTCGCTGCTTACAGCCGATGTATCAGATCGTCAAAGGGAGCTATTTCATGATCTTAGAAGAGCTGACAGGTTTCACCGAAGACTTGCAAAAAGCAGCAAACGTGCAACCCCCCTCCCCCGCTGCCGAACTGCCCCCAGACTTACTGGACCAAAGGAGCACGCACTGTTTTCGCGCAAACCTTAGTGAATTCCTGCAGAGCACTAGATACTTAAAATGAAGTGGTGCAAGGAAACAAGAGAGACGAACAAAGTACCACCACCACTACACGTCACAAAGAGGCTCGCTCAGACGGGTTCTCCTCGCTCTATCAGTCAGCCGTTTTTTTTGGTTTTTTATCCTTCCGGCTAAGGTAAAAACTCTTCAAACTTCACACTAGACAGTGGGATCCAGGCTGGGGTGGGCAATACTGACACGTTCAGAGAGCTTGAAATTGTGCATACCCACGGCTCACTGAATCCTTGTATGTCCTACCCCCTTAGCTGCTTCTCACTGGCTGTTCGCTGCGAACTCACACAGAGTTTGTGCCTTCCAATGAAAGAATAGTATAGAACGCCACCACTGCAGAGAAAAACCCTCGAATATGCAGGAACTATGCGAACAAACACAACACAATGACATCACCGTTACATACTCGCATTAGTCACTCACTTCTAAACGTCATGTAAAGTAATCAAGACTATAAAAGACCAGGCGACAAAAAGGAAATAGAGGTAGAGGAACAAACTCCGCAACTATTGTATGCCACTCTTTCCAGGATCATCGCTCTTCTTCTCCTTGTCTGGCGGTTTGCTATCGGTGCCAGCCTCATTGCTCTTGTTCTCCTTGTCTGGCGGTTTGCTCTCGGGGCCAGATTTCTTGTTCTCCAGCGGTTGGCTCATTGTTACCTTCTTTTCGTTTTCCTGTGTGGATCCGGTCGCGGTCGGCTTACTCTGTGTGGTTCGCCTTTCGCCGTCTAGACCTCTAGGTTCCATCTCCACAAGGTGATTCTCGCCAGAGATTGGTTGGCTTTCACTGATGTCATTAGCACTCCATCCTGACACACCAGGCGAATTTCGATTTTCAGTCCCCTTTCGAGCGCTGTTCGATGTATGCCTGAAACGAACTTCAAGTTATAAAATTGTGATTTACCTCCTAAGTTCTAAAGATGATACAGTCCTCATCATTGCGGGCTGTCGGGGCCCGCAATGATGAGGACTGTATCATCTTTAGAACTTAGGAGGTAGTCACTGAGCCGCGCTGCACTGTGACGCGACAGCGGCTGCGGCTCGGTGACGGCGAATCAGCTGATTTCGATGGAATTCGGCTGCAATTTTTTAGCTCTTCAAGCTTCTAAAGTGGAAGGTGAGTTATTCTGAACAATTTTGAATTGTACTGGCTCTGATTTCCTTTATTTTTATGTCGATTATTATGCTCTTTTCCTTGTATTTTGCCTTATTTCAGGCATTTATTCAAATGGCTTACATTCTTTCAGATTCATTCAGAGTCAGTACAATTTAAAATTGTTCAAAATAACTCACCTTCCACTTTCGAAGCTTGAAGAGCTGAAAAAGTGGGAATTCGCAGCCGAATTCCATGGAAATCAGCTGATTCGCCGTCACCGAGCCGCAGCCGCTGTCGCGTCACAGTGCAGCGCGGCTGTGCCGCCCCGACAGTCCGCAATGATGAGGACTGTACGTACCATCTTTGAGATGCTGCCACCCACTACAAGACATGATTAAAGGCATAAGGCACGATAATTTAATACTCGGTCCGAAATGCCGGCATGCTTAAAAGTAAGAAAATAGCCAAAAAACCAAGGGAAACGGTCAAAAAGCTCTGAAGAGAAGACCTTCGTTTTTCATGACTCGGGCAGTATTTTCGGACGAGTTCCCCATAGGCATCTTGCCAACAAGCGCTACGGTAGGTACGGCTGCATGTATGTATTCATACATCCATGCAGCATCGCAGTCGCTTCATACCAATCCCTTCGCTTCATATTTTACTTCGCAAATGAAGCAATACGAGCATCAGGTACGGTCGTCCATTTGTGGGCGGGCGGGAGCGTGGACGTCCGGGTCGGTATGTTGCAGCTTGATAGGGTTTTATAGGGCTTCCCTGGAAAAGACGCTACGCAGCGTCTCCTCAGAGGGGGGGGGGGCGGAATTCCGTCCTGTTAGGTGTGTTAATCCTACTCGTCTTAGGGATTCATCGTGCCAACTGCCTCTAAGTTCTAAAGATTCCAATTCAAGGGGAAAGGCTCGAGAGACGTGAACAGGATGATCTGTTTCGGGTAAAACCAGTGATAACTAAGCAGCACACTTAAGACCACTTTTGTAGCAACTTGCAAAAAAATTCATGGAAATTTAGAGAAAATGGGGCGCACCAGATTTTGCGAAAGAAAAGTCCTATTCGGACCCCTACTTGGACAGAGACGTCCGCGACCGACCGTATAACCGTTCCCCAATCCTTCACAACACTATCGGGGAAAACAGACTAGTTTCGTTTTTTTGGGCTTTTTCGAAGAATGGGGGCTTTTTTTGAAATTTCATAACGCTCAAACTTGCTTATTAAAGAATATCATTCCCTAATCGCAAAAAGAAACATTCTTTAAATAACTAAAGGATTTACCTGCCAATAATTGGGCTTGGTCTCAATATTCCTTCATCATCAATGACATACTCTGGTAGAGAGTAAAAGGAAGAGCTCCGTGACAGCGGCATTGTGTGTGGATCTGGAGACACGGGAGGAACAGCCGCCTCCAACGCTGCGCGCACCTCTTCCTCCTACAACACCTCAGCTTTATAGAAGATCTGAATCCATATGAAACGATGAAGTAGAGGGGATAAAAAGTATGAACGGATAGCCTTCGCCGTTGAAAAGACTTTTTCAGGACGCGACACGGATTCTACTTCCCTTCAGAATCATTCTGGCATATTGAATGCGACACAATGACTTTTGGGGCCTGCCAATGTACAAGTCAATGTTCTTATACCCCCCCCCCAAAAAAAAAAGTTTTTGGTTGCAGTTTACCATCCTCGGAAGGTGGAAGGCTCGGTTTTCCAGGGCGGGAGCCGATCCGTGATTTAATCCCCAAACCGTGCGCTTGATACGCATGCTGGTTGCCACTGCATCACTTCTGCCAACTAGAGAGGAACGGGAGAAGTCCGATGGATCATTTACCTGCTGTCGCAGTGCTTCAGGGCTGACGGTGGTGTCTTGGAATGACTCAAGCAGTCTGTTCAAATACCTCTGTTTCACCTTGTACTGCCTCATCATCTTCAGACGATGCTGTAAGCTGAACGCCTTCACTCGGTTCACCTAAAAAAATACATACATTTGAGAATGAACAAGTAACCAAAAGCACAAATTTCTTCACCGGGACCATGAACCTTCAATTATGATGATTTAGTTCCTATGTGAGGAAAATATCAGAAATGTTAATTATCTTCCTATCGTTAGGGTTCTCATGGAACAGCTTCCAACGTTTCATGAATAACCCTGATCGCCCGTTCTAGCTGCATTAACCCGATTTACTGTATTTCCAATCGGGCCCGTCTTCATTCAAAAAAGGCGATTTGATTTCCACAAGGGTTCCATAGTTTGGTAAAAGTGAAATGGATTTGAACGAAATCGCTACGAGCGCCAACCGTATCGAGAACGGACTTTTTTTTAAACTGTCTGGATGCATTAGCACAGCCGCATTATTTGTTGAAACCCATCCAAATCCCTGAACTCACAATGAGGCGGCTAGATCAATGACAAAATCCAGTAGCCTTTCATATGTGATGCGAAACCTTGGTCATTTCGGTTTACTCTTAAACTTTTTTTCTACACAAATGGCACTTTTCATCGTCGCCGATGATGCCCCTGTGACCCCGACTGTCGGGGCGGTTGTAGTAACCCAATTTGTAGTCACCCACAGTTGTAGTAACCCAAGCTTTTACTCGTATAGTAAACTTTCTCTTCGTTCTGTGCTCACCAGATAAAGACTTATTCTATTCACACTCCCTCTCTCTTACAAATAATCCACTGAATCACCGAATCATTCGGCCTCAAAGGCTCAAACCAACCCTAAGTCTCAGCGCACCCACAAAAGCAGTGATACAAAAGAAAGACACCAAAAGTTAAACGAAAATGCCCAGGCTTTGCGAA